GGATCCATCCTGGTCCTAGCAATGTGTACCTAATAAAGTGTCATGTGAGTGTACAACAGGAACACAAAGAGCACCTGAGATTTCCCATTCCCTATAACCGGTCAATGGTAAAAAAAAGAAAAAAGAAAGCACATATTATTATTATTATCAGTGTTTTTCCAGCTTTGATATTTGTCAGTGTTTTGAAGAAAATGTCATCTGATTGGTTGATGTGTTATTTATGTAGAAGGTGGATGGCGATGGTGAAGGCACTAGCGCAATTGGACCCGATGGAGAGGTGAGTTACTGTTCATGTTAAATGTAAAACGTGTTTTTTAATTTGATCTGCAGCTAACTTTGAGTTTACTGAACGCAACCTCATTGTTAGCACGATTCCCACTCTGCAGCTTACCTGCTCAGGACTGCAGACAGAGTCGGTGCTGAGATGTGACAGCAGTGGCCATAAAATCACACAAGTCCTGCACTTATGTTCAACAGGTGGACACAAACACGAATGAGTGACAGTCGTACTGATGGATGTGTAAAAAATCAGGCACTTCTGTTTCAAAGACACTTTCAGGGTTCACGTCCCCCCGATGTCGACAGTTGTTCGCTCTTCGTCCTCTGAATATGCTGATAATTATTCCTCTCATGCATTTGCTGAGTCTTTCATTGTGACTGCTACAAAATCCAACCTACTCTGACAGAAAAAAGAAATAAATAAGGAGGCGAACAAACAAACAGTAATTATCCATTGAGAGGCAGACTGCACCCTGGGCGATTGTACAACAGAGGCATGTTGTAAACAGTCCTCCGAAAGCAAAAAGACGTCTGTTTGTTTGTTTGTTTGCAGTCGTAACTTTCCACACTTTTTAATCATGTTCCTCTGAGTGCTCCAGAAGCTCAGGCTGAACTTTGATGGCAGGTTTGGTGAAGCTCGCGGGTGTTTACCTCTAAAGGGAACTTTGGAGGTCTGAAAGTTTGGTTCATGTTGGGATTTTATGTTTTATAGCTCGTGTTTGATTGAGGTTATGGAACTAATGAAAAGTGTTTTACGTTCATTATATGCAGATTGCATCAGCGGCGGCTGATGAAAGTGAAGCTTTGTGGTTTATGGTTCTCATTTCTAAATGGATTTGAAGATCTATATCATACTTTGATCAATATCAAAGTCCGCCGCTCATCTTAAAAACTTAACAGCTCATATCTTTTCAAAAAAAAAGTTAAAAGACTAAAGTTTGAAGATGAGTTCAGATTTATGCATGCTGCTTCTTGTGTTTCCTCCTGCAGCCCATGGATGAAAGCAGCCAGATGAGTGAGCTGCCTGTCAAAGTGATTCAGACTGAGACCGGGAAAGTTTTGCAGGGAACCGAGGCCCCAAAATCCAGCCAGCTGGAGGCTTGGCTCGAGATGAACCCCGGGTGAG